CTGTTCATCTGCATCTAAACTAGGGCTGCCACAAACGATTATTTTGATAGTCGACTAGTCACCGATTATTTATGCGATTAGTCGACTAGTCAGATCATCATCCACTGGACGTAAAACGTACAGCTTATTGCACCAGCAGCATCTGCTCTTATATAACTATCATTAGCTTACAGCTTTAAGTGTTTAAGGTGCTAACTAAAAATAAAGACAAGATGATAGTTTATTAAATTTTAATGAAATTTGCAGATTGTTTCGGTGAAGTTTAATAAACTCCTTGCTATCTAAACTATAACAGGACACGGAGTAAATTCTCCAGCATCTCACACTTCTGATAATCAGCTGTCTGCTTGACGTTTATTCAGCTGTGTAAAAACTATAATTTAATCTCAGCCAAACTACTTATTCCTGCGTCTTTTGGGATCTTACAAAGCTTCAAATGATTTTGATAGTCAACGTAATCGTGAGTAGTCGGCTAACCGTGGCAGCCCTACTCTAAACCAACAACAACTGTCTGCTACCAACAATGCAGTTTTGAGATCACTACCCACACGCTTTAATATCCACTCACATCTACATCATCAGGTGATCACATGATAGAGTGAGGGAAGGTCTCACAGTGGTTGCACCCGAAACCTCGGCCCATAATAACCCACACCCTTTTTCACACCTTGGCTCATGTGATGAGGTACATGATCAATAGGTAAAACTCCCACTAGGCTTTACATGCCTGGGACTCTGCACCGTTTGGTTTTAGAACTGAAGATGTTTCTCGGAGGAGGGCTGAAATGTCTTCAAGAACCTTAAAGAAGTCCAGTTGCTTTCATGTCCAAGGTCCTTAGACTACGATGATGTGGATGACTGAGAACCTACATAGACATGTTCTTCTGATCAGCAGATGACCTGCTCTACCTCCTTTTATATGAGACAGTTGTGTTTTTTTTAATGACTAACTAACATCAAATGGTTCCCACTATGAAACGTAACCTGTAACTTGTCTTCAACAACATTAAAAATCTAGTTAACCATGTTCCAGTGAATGCCAGTGCCACCTCTGTAATATTTAATTGGAAATCGATTGTATATTCTAGCATAACTACCTTCCAATCTGCAAATTACCCCTAAAACATAATTAGCAGGCAGCTTATAGAGCTAATGGAACACAGAAACGTACTGATTCATTTCAGTCTGACAATTAAAAACAGTTCACAAGAAGCTTAGGATTATGAATAGGATTTTAATCAATACTTAAGTAACATGACTTGACTTCAGTGTTTGACACAGCTGATCAGGCAGTTTTCCTCAACAGGCTGTGAAACAGGGCTGGCATACTTGGAAAGGCAGTCAGGTGGTTCAGGGCTGACAGTTTTATTTCATCCATGCACTCCACAAACATAACTGCCACGTATACTTCTTCCATACTGTAGAAACCCCCCCAAAATGTGGTTCCATGCATTTATTCCTTGCTTGACTTTGAATTTCTGATATTTGAACAGTTAAAACTGAAGTCTTTACCTTCAGCCTAAAATCAACTCTCACTGACCTCTAATAAATCCTCCAGTTCTTGGTTTAAGTCACCTGACTGAAACATCTTAGCATTTCTGTGGAAAAACAAACCATCACAAAAGGCAAAAGATGATGATGGTCCAGAACTACCAAATTGTTGTCATCACTTCTTCACCAACAGATTGCAGTACGTTTCATAACGGATCATATCAAGCTCCTGAAACTCAGCGTCCATTCACAACAGGCACTCTGTGGACAAAGCTCTGAGCTGCCTTTCATTGTCTCCAGTATTTTGCATCAGAACTGCTTTAATAGTCTTAACATAAACACCTCGTGGACAGCCTGCTGTGAATACTTAAAAATAACCAAGTCTTCATTTAACCCATTTGGAACAAGCTCGATATTTGTCAGAAAAGAGATATTTAGATATTTTTTAGGTTAAATGTCCTTTTAACAATTAACTGTGATAAATCCAAAAAACAGCAAACAAACTGAAAAATCACACACTTCTTTCATTGTGCACAAAACTTGAAACAGAAATTCACAATTAATTCCTCACATTTTAGTCCAACCAGACGTGTTCTCACGTCACCGTTGTTGACCATTGATATTTAGATATCAGATCTGATCAGACCAACAAACAGCTGGATGCAGGAAAGTTCAGTGCTGCACTCTCTCTGTGAAACCAGGTTTTCAGTATTTAAGGGCAGGTTTATATTTAGTTTTGATCAGGTATGAGTATTTAATATGTATTATATAGCACACACTGCAGATCTGTTAATATTCCTATACCACACGGTCAGGCCTTGTGGATGTGTCCGTGTAAGGAACACAGCCTCGTCTGTAAGCATGTAAATTACACACAGTTGGTGAAGGAGATCCGAACCTCGTCAGTAACTTCAGCAGAACAATCAGAAGCTCAAACTGCATCTAAATGCCCTGAAGTCGAGTCGAACTTTGAAACCCATGGATTTCGAGGTCATGTCACGTCTCCGGTGCAAGCCCTCGGTGGTCCTTAAAACGCTCCTCTACAAATTCGCTCTATTATCAGTCAGGAGCTTCATTCTTCATCCCTCCATCTCTAAAGTCTTTCTCTCTCGTATCCTCTCCTTTCTCCTGTGCAGATGGTTTATCCCTTTCCTGTTGTGTTTCCGTTTTTGTGTTATCTCTTCATTTAAAATCTTTTTCTACGAGTCCTCAGCTATTCGTGGTCTTCATAGATACCATGCCAGCCCACTTCGGTTTACTAGATCTAGGTCAGACACACTGCTAGCTGCTGGTACCACAGACTGACACCACATTACAGCAGAGCCCTGGGTTTCGTTACTGTCACATGTATGTATGCCTTCTATATTGTGCATCTACACAAAGCTGCATCTCGAAACTGGAGAGTTTTCACTTATTCCATTGGCTGATTTTTTTCACTTAATACAAGATAAAAACAAGTTCCTATATCTTACTGAAATTTCTCTGTAGCTGATTGTGTCTTATTTTGATTGATTGATTGATTGATTGATTGGTAATTTATTTCAACATGTGAACAATATACAGGTACATTTAGAAAAGAAAATAAGAGAGAAAAAAAGTACTATACAAATTACATACAAAAAAACCATTCTGATTAATTTACATTTTGAAAGGGAGGAAGTACACTTATTTAATCCCACCCCTTTGCCATAAATTATCAGTTAATATCTAGTTGCTTCCTCACTGATATAATTTGTAATAAAAATAGTGAACAGATTTCTGATTTACTATATCCTATAATATCACATGAGTTTGTTTTTTTTTAAATAGAGACATTCACTTAATTTCAATATTTTCCTTTTCTATATAGTTCGAGAAGATCATATTTTTATAACTCTTTTTGAACAGTTTTATGTTTGGACGTTGCTTTAATTCCATATTCAGACTGTTCCACAGTTTCACTCCATGCACAGAAACACAAAAGCTTTTTCTTGTAGTACAAACCTTCCCTGTTTTGAAGTTACAAAAACCCCTTAAATTATAACTTCCTTCTTTCAAAAAAAACATACTCTGAATATTTCCTGGCAGGTCTTTATTTTTTGCTTTGAATAGAATTTGTGCTGTTTGGAATTTGAATTTTAAGTGTCATGAGATTATTTTGACTAGAAATAAGCCAAATATAATCGGTAAGATTGTGAGCTTTTGCCGCGTGGTGCCTCGGCTACGTTTAAAGAGAAAGAAAAAGAAAACTACCGACTGATCAAGCAGTTCTGTGACCAGGCGAGGCCCGCTTCCCTTCAGACCTATCAGTGACATGGCTACATTTCGTTGGTGTCTTCCAGCAACACCAAAAAGACCATGTGAGACAAATATAGTGGACAACTGCAAAAATGTTTCCACGGTTAAGAAAACCCCTTCAAAACACACTGTCCTAGTCAAGAACACTCTGAAGGAGGTGGGAGTATCATTATCAAGTGTAAAAATGTAAATACAGAAGGTTTCATAACACAGTGTTGTACTCCAACTGGTTTGAGTGCTCAAGTTGAAAAGCTTTGTAATAACCAGCACATTTATCACAGGAAAGCTTCGGACCGATGGAGCCAAGATTAGTTTGTACCTGAATGATGACAAAAAGGCCAGAAATAATGGAACAGCTTATTATCCAAAGCAAACCCCATTATCTGTCAAACACGATGGATGTGTTATTATGACATGGACAGGTATGGCTGCCAGTGGAACTGGGTTACAGGTGTGTATACATGATATAACTGATAAAGAGTAGAGTACGGTCCTGGGCCCTCCCTAACCCTGGTTCTGTCCCAGTTCGTCTTTCATTGCCAAGTACTTACTCAGAAGGGATTGTCTGAGTGCAAGTGCACTTCAGGGAACTGCTGTTGTGATTTGGTGATGATCAACGACCCAAAGCATACTGCAAAAGCAACTCCAGAGTTTGACTCTCCACGAACAAGAAGCTGAAATACCTGTCCCTGCTCGAGCAGAATGATTTCATCACCATTATGTCACACACAGCATATATGAATTACCTGAACACTGCAGTCAAAATTAAGCTTCACAATATTCCTGTTGCCATAAATCTTAATGTGAGAAAAGTTCATATCAAATCTATGTTTCATTGGGTGGTGCTGAAGTAGCTCCGCAATGACAACAACATGTTACAGCCTACGTTCTCAGGCTGACATCAAACATGTTGTAATATTTCTAAAATACTACAACAGCTGTTGAATATGATCACAATCATAATCGTGATCAGTCCACGCCAACATGGCTCACAGACGCTGCATAGGCCTGCTCACAATTCATACAGTTGTTTGTGTCGAAGCAACCTGTTCGCCAGCACGGGCACACGCACGGTACACGTTCCTGCTCAGCAACACCCAGCCACTCTCACGCTGCGGTATTATCCTAATGCCTGATGGGAACATATGCAGACCGAAGCGGGCGGAGGTAGAATTAGTCCAAATATCATCTGTGGGCAATGCAGCAGCGGGGCAGAACACAGCCACACTTACCGGCCCCCTCCTCTTCAGAGATATGTTCTTCCACAGCAGAAGATGGAGTTGGTGCAGGAATCCCATTTTCCTTCCACTTTTACTTCACGGTGTCCTAAATGTAACAAATCAGCATAACGGCGGTGACGTCACGCTGGATTTAGAAAACAAGGGGATTTCTATCCCGTTTCTGGGCATCCTGGATCCGATTCAGCCAATAACAATATTATTATTATTATTTTAGCGCAGGCGGAAGGAAAAATGAGCATTTATCCGAGAGCGGCGGCAAAATGCGTGACGGGACTGAGTGTCATCCTCTGTAAACACTTCACAGTCTTGCTTTATCATGCAACTGCTGGAGTTGGAACAGGAAAGCAGTTTGGGAGCAGCCTGACAAGCTCCAAACCACAGACTTCCGATAGACC